AATATATATAGAGACAAGCGGTTCCACATTGGAAAAGAAGTGCTGTCTCATAAGAAACCTTACCTATAGCCTTGAATGAAATGCAATGAAAAACGTTTGAATACATGCAAATTTTTCCAGCAGGCAGATCAACATCAAGATCTGGTTGTGAGGGATGGGGGGGAGTGGGGAGAGTACTCTATGATTTGTTGGGCAGGAGTGTCTTCTGTGACCCAAGAACCCTTAGCCTTTACAACTCCATGTTCTGCTGCAATTTTGCCACCCTAGCTACTCTGGACGTATGTCTTTGTAATATGTGTGCAAAAAAAAAAGCCAACGAAAAAAGCCTACACTTTGGAAGTTAAGTGCGACCTTGCATGGTACAAACCCGGCTTGTTTTAACAGCATTCAATAATATACCAGTAATTGCAATTTCATCAATGTGTTTCATCTCTAGATTACCTAATCCACGAGTTTGGCCATAGGTCTCCTTTGATTACACTTTTGTATTGGGCTCAATTAGGAAATTTAAAATAGACAACAAAACGATATTCGATGCAAGATATTCCACACTCCCGGATTGACCTGTTCAGTGGCAAACACCCTACCCTAGGGCAGGGAAAGGAGTCAGAAATTGTCCGGTTTGGTGCGGGTGGGAAAAATTGATCAAACTCGTATTGACGGAAACGTTGGTTCCTTTGATTTAGCCACCATCTCAGATCTCGAGCCTGGAGTTTATCCTTCAACACTGTCAACTTAGCTGAGTTTTAAAGACAACAAATGCGCTTGTATGGCCTATAGTTAGAGCGGTTTTAAATCTATTGTTGTCGAACCAAAACCAAAGTAATCACTCAGGCAAGAAAGGAAATCTAGTGAACCAATCAAAACTTGAAGCAGATTCATGTTTCCGGCGCTAACCGCAAGGAAGGGTACGCGAATAAGTCACGATTGGCTTAAGGTTAAAGTCTGATTGGTTGAGAAAGTGGCACGAGTCATATTTTACCAATCTTAAAGCGTAGAAACCAATGCAAACGTGAGTTACTTTCAATAGTTAAGTGCAGACCGCCCTAACCATTAAATTGAAGAACCAAAAGCTTCCAAGAGAGCGTGCTAATCATTTTAATATATTTTGCGTTTCAACAGCTTGGTTTGTTACTCAACTACGCCACAAAGCTGAAGAAGGAAGCAAACCTAGACCTAAACTTGTTCACATCTTGTGCATTATCCGTTTACAACATGTGGGATCAAATTCCTGCTGAAAATGTCGAGGAGGTGAAGAAGACACAGATTGAGAAACTCACCAAGAAGTTAAAAGACCTCGATGAGCAGTCACAGATCATTTATTTGTCGTGCTAGAAGGCTCAGCTTGCACTAAAGTATGGTGTTATAACTGAGGACTTTGATCAGCTGTTAAGTGGTATAAACAATCTTGTTGTCTCATCCATGCAGTGCAGCCTACAAATATATTCCAGGTATGTAAAATTAGGCTTACTTAGATGAAACAACGATCGTGCATCGCAAGCAATTACTGTTTGAGGATTCAGAAAATGAGAGATTCATGTATCTTATGATCAGCCCTTACAAACAGATTAAGCGACATTTTCTGGTCTGAATGAACTGGGGATCACAAAATTTCCCTTAAATTTCACCACAGCTAGGTAGAATTTTTAACGCTATTTAGAGTCTCTATTTCATAAAAATCACATTTTTATCGAGATATCTACTCAAAATATGCCGGTTGAGGTAGAAGAGATGACTCAATTAGCCCGTTGTCCGGTACTGATTAACCTATATTCAGGCTCTCTGTTTTGGCGCTTTTTATTCGAGAATTTCGAAAACCTATTCTTTGCGCTGTTGTTTTCATTCCATTCATTAATTCTGTTCACAGATCGAGGTCCCTTCGATCTGAATGAAGTGAGGATCAGAAAATTTCCCTAAAAATTCACTACAGCTACAATAGGTAGAATTTTGAACGTTATTTAACATTTTTATTTTATGACGATCAAATTTTTATCAAGATATCTGCTCAAAATATGCCCGTTGAGGTAGAAGAGATGACTCAATTAGCTCGTTGTCCGGTGTTAACCTATATTCAGGCCCTCCACTTTGGCGCTCTTTATTTCAGTATTTCAAACACCTATTCTTTGGCCTGTTGTCTTCATTCCATTCATTAATTCTGTTCACAGATTGAGGTCCCTTCGATCTGAATGAAGTGGAGATCAGAAAATCTTCCTAACAATTCACCACAGCTAGGTAGAATTTTGAACGTTACTGAGCATCTCTATTTCGTGACAATCAAATTGTTATCAAGATTTATACAATGTACTCAAAATATGCCCGTTGAGGTACAATGTAGAGGAGATGAATCAATTAGCTCGTTGTCCCATATTGACCTATTATTTAGGCCCTCTATTTTGGCGCTCCTTATTCTCATCCTTAAATCCAGGGAATTTACCAACCGGCGAACCTGCAGTTGGAGAATTTAAAACGAGACATTACGGTGTTCAACATCAAAGAGATCAGAAAATCAGATTTCTCAAGGGGGCAGTTGAAGTGGAACTAAGACGAGAAATCTATAATTGGAAAAGCAACTTTCTCGACCGTGTACAGTGGTGTTCTTTCTCGCAGAGGACAACCAGAAATTAAAGTGGCACTGGAGGTGTACAGTAATCCTCTACAAAGTCACAACGTGTAGCATTTTATTGACGAAGAAAGAGCCCTAAGGTTTGTTTTTTCCTGATAAAATTGCTCTGTAAATTAGTTTCCTTCTAAGGAAATATTCCAGACCCAATGTACACGAGCTGCTTCGTAGTTTTGCGGCGCCTTACCTCTGCCGGTGCTCTCCTCTCTACTTGAAAATGGCAACAAATCATTTCGAGAAGATAAAACAATAGGCCCTTTGCAGCTGGGGTCACGTGACCACATTTTTTCTTTAAAAGATTTCTATTATGGGCTATAACTTAAAGAATGCCAGAAATGGAAAGAGCATATTGAAAATACCAAAATGGCCAAGTTTGAGGCCCTCGTCTATAAAGAATGAGATTTTACGACGGTCTGAATTTTTAAAAAATAAGAAGATTTGTATGGAAAAAGTTGTTGGAGAGCAAGGCCTTGCTCTCCAGCAACAATTTCCATACAAATCCTCTAAATTTTCTGAAAATTCAAACTGTCATATAAACTTACAATTTAATGCAAGGGACCTCAAACTTGGCCATTCTAGTATTTTTAATATGCTCTTTCCATTTCTGGTATTCTTTAAATTATAGCCCATAATAGAAATTTTTAAAAGAAAAAATGTGGTCACGTGACCCCAGCTGCAAAGGGCCTATTACTTTTTTTAATCCATAGATAATTCCAGTTTCAGAGCAGAGTTTTGAAACCTAGCAGGTGTTAATTAAGTTTTCACATTGCTTGTTTATCAGAGAAAGTTGATCTTCCTAAAGATATTCCTTGTAAAGTTCTCTTTTCGTAGCAACCATTTTTAAAGCAAGTTTAACTTATGTATTAACTGGTTACTTCTTTTACTCACAGGGAATTGCGTCACCCAAACATTGTCAAGTTATTTGGAACCAATCTTCAACAATCATCTTGTGGAACCAAAGTATAGTCATGGTCATCTTAGAGCTCTGTGAGTGCTCCCTCAAAACTCTCATCATGTCTCATTCTGAGAATGCCCCTGGCCGCTCGGAAGACGCAGCTGTGGGGACAATGTACTGTGCTGGGCTATGCAAAATCTTGATGCGTTGTGCTACGTTCGTGATCATAGATTTGTTCACCGGGACCTAAAACTGGACAATTTATTGGTGGGTAGAAATTTTCACTTTACTTTACCCTTAGAAAAAATATGCCTGCGGTCTACATCACAAGTGATCACATTGTTAGGCAAACGATATGCGATGATATTTTATACGGATTATAATAGGTCTTCACCACGGTGAACAAACACAATGCTTTTTACGACATTCATATAGGTAGATAAGCCGGTACACTCAAGAAATAGTTTTCATTACGATTATCTTTTAGGTGTTTAAAAAGTATCAGACCGTTATGCGTGCAACTGAAAGGTCCATGTTGGTTATATCTCCCATTTAACATAATGTTTCTCGTTATAATCACATTTGCCTCATTTGCCTTTACTACCCGAGGGGTAATGAAAACAGAATCATTGCAATTGGTACTGCGAATAGACATCGACATATGCATCTGCCGCCGGCCGATACGTGCCGTCGTGTGTCGCTGTATTCTGGGCGATGTGTTAAGATAAAGTATGCCAGACATTCGTCACCGTCGTATTTCAGTTGCATGTACAATTTCGCTAGTATACCCCAAAGATTTCTTCCGATATTTTCGTGATAAAAACAGGTTAATTACCGTAAACTGCCGCTGATAAGACCCTCGCTTATAAGCCCCCCTGACTATGAGCCCATCAACCTGCAAAAACAATAAAAAATGCATCTGATTGTAAGCCCCCGCCCCGAATATAAGCACCCCACTAACGCTCCCCTGTTTTGAGTTCGTTTTATTTTGATGTTTTAAAGCTTAGGTAAAACCAGTAAATGCAAAACCAGCTATACATAGCTCATCTCGAAAAGGTTTTTTTTTTTCTTGTTATAAGCCCCCTCGAAAATACGCCCCTCCGTTTATAAGCCTATCTAAAAATCCTTACGAAGTTGTATAAGCCCACGGATTATAAGCGGCAGTTTACGGTTTGAGAGAGTTTGCGTTGTACTTGTAATGGGATAAATTAATAGCAATAATATACCAACTGCCACTCAGGTGAAGCTACACGCACAACGACGGCATATATATATTATGGCGCCTACTGTATATCGACTTCTCTGTGGTGTGTGCTGTTTTATCAAGTTGACAGACGAGAATCAAGTGAAACTAACCGATGTTGGTGTAGCCAAGCGTGAAAGAGATATATCGGGTACATTCTGTAGTACCCAACTTTTCCTTGCACCCGAAGTCTTGGATGGCCAATTCTACGACAGCAAAGCTGACATGTATAGTTTTGGCATCATCCTTTGGCAAAGGTGGTATGCCATGACAGCATTTCATGCCGAACTGGTAAGCCGATCTCAGTTTCAGTTTCTGAATGATGTGAGAGGGGGACTTCGCCCAAGCCACATTGGTGGTACACACCAACCTTGGGGAATGTGGAAGCTTGTAATGGAGACGTGTTGGGACAACGAGCTACAACATCGGCTCACTGCTCGACAGAGCCGGGACGCGCTTGATAAGCTTCAAAAGGAAAGGGACATGGGCACCAGTACGTCGCCACTTCATTCTCAACCAGAGGCGACCCTTCACAAGTCCCCCGGACATGAGTTACCTGCTGCTGAATCAAGCGATTCTCCTTTAAAGCCACAACCAGTCCCAAAACCACGAGTAGCCTCTAAGCCACAGCCAGCTGCAAAGCCACGACTTACACAAAGACGAAATACGCCACAGCAAGCATCGGTGTCGTTTTCTGCCCAGACCGAAGACGCATATGTACATTTTGATCAACGTGACAAAACAAAACATTAGATTTGCTATCTCTAGAAACGCTCAGCGAAAAAGTCAAATGTATTTTCCGGACGTTTTACAAAAAGGAGGCAAAGCCATTTAAGTCTAGACGTACTGTAATTAACGTGCAAATCGCGCAGGTTTCCTATTGCAGGTATCCAGGCACAATAAGTTGTAATTAGATGCCTGTACATGTAGTTAGACACTAAATTACGCCAGTTACTTGACAAATAAGCTCGCGGAGAACCAATTATTACAGAGAAGTTTGCTATATATATCACAACGAGGGAACTGTTTTACAACTGAATGGAACAGGAATGGTCTTTAGTAGGTCTTCAGGTACTTTTATTTCTAATGGATCTTTAAAAGCCCCTAGTCGTCGCGCGGCTTTACGAACACGTTATCAAAGGGGGTGGAAATTGGGGCGAGGCACCCTTAAAGCCATTTTTAAAGTTACCAGTCTCGGACGCTAAGGTTGTTTATTGTTCATTAAGAAAAAGAAATAGGTGAATAGAATGAGTTGTTTGCACAGTGAACCCACTCCAAAAGGTCCTCAGAGAATTTTCATTAACGATTAACATCATTGGAAACCGGGCTCAATTAATGGCAATCTGTGTTAACGAGTAATGTATTTTCTCCGAAATTCCCCAAAAAGTAAACAAGATTCAATTTTTTTCAGATCAGGAGAAAATGCTCATATGTGGCCTCAGTGTTGTTTGTTATAATTCACGAGATTTCTTTAATAAGAGGGCCTGCAACAGTTTCAAGAATATTTTAGCACTTCTACTTTGATAGATTAATACTGCCACTCTTTTTCACTGGAAACTACAGTAATGCGGGTATCAGGCAGCAACAGCAACAATAGCTTACTTGTATCCCATAAAAAATAGACAAACAAATACCCAATCATTGGTGAGAAAGCTATAGTCTTTCACAAGTTACCATAACGAAGGTATAAGCTAATAATCATAATAATAACTGTAAATAAATAAGTATGTATTACGGGGTAAAACCTAAGGAAATGCTAAGAATAAAAAGACAGGTAAAAGGAACAAATGCAAGTCTTAAGACACTTAAAAGAAGGCAGATCCGCAGAGTCTCAGATGATCTGGGAAGCCGTTCTAAAGTGTTACTGCATAAAGAGAAAATGATCCTTCGCCATGGTTATAATATTGGACAAAGGAATCTTCAGAAGACCCCTAGAGGTAGAGCACATTTGTCCAGCAAATCAGTTATTTACACTGATGCAGGCCCATAAAGCACCCTAAATGTCCATAACAGAGTCTTGAAAACAATCCGAACAATGCATAAAACGACTGGAATACTCTGGGCAGCCTGGGGTACCCCCCTCCCTAGAACACCCTTGGATAGTCCTAGACGCATTGCCCCAGCATAACGTTTGGCATAATTAAAGCAAAAGTACACAACGTTCCAAAAAAAAGCGCCAATTTGGCCTTTTACCCAGAGTGAATTGAGTACTTCATGACATACAAAAAGGCTGGAAGTTGAAACTGTATGTTAAAATTAATGATGACAAAGAATAGACTGCAAGGCTGATACTACGTGAAAAACGTTTCGAGACACCAACATGACAAGAACCGATAAAG